GATGTTTACCGATGCAAAATAAATGAGATATAAAATGGAATTATGTAGGATATTTAGGATGCAATTACACGTAATAATATGCAAGAGCGATTCAATGTATGCCGGGAGGGATTTGAAATGAAAAATAAGCGTAATGTAAAATGGAAATAAGTAGAGCTTCCTTATCCAGAACACAGCATTTTTCAGTAACGAATGACTTTTCTCTTTCAAATATGTACATATTTTATTATTGCCCATACAAAACGTATTTTTTCCCTTAAATCGATCAAATGGATTTTGATTAAAAGAACTTAGTACGAAAGCAATATCGTTCTATCTGTCGAGACAAAATACGACATATTTAAAAACCTCGAAGCTGCCGTAGGTGCAACAGAATTGGCATATGTACATGATGCTGGGAAAGTTACAATCGCGAATATTAAAAAACAAAAATATGATACTGATTTCAATTATTTGAAGCACGTAGATCCTTCGAGTGCTGGCAACAGTAGGAAAATCTTAAATATACTGATGCAATGAGATGGTTTCGTTACGATAAAGACGATATCTTCTCATACCGATGCATTCGTGGCATTCGATAAGGAGCTTCGAACGTTAGAAGTAGACAAAGAACGTGGCTCTATGAAGTTTCTTATGTTGATTGAATTATGATTAATAATATAAAATATACTAAATATAATAAAAGGTAATAAGGATCCTTAAAGATTCAATTGATCCTAATTTGTATTTGAATAAGTGAAATTTCATATGAGAAAAATAATTGTTCCATTATCCAAATATTTCATGATTTGAACAGTTTCGTCTTGCTGTTCCTTCGGATAAGGAAGGTTCCTACTTTGTAATTACCAACAAATGTCCATCCAATTTCAAAGTTTTAGTGGACCAGATGTTCAACACACTAAATAAATATTACTACTACTACTACTACTACTACTACTACTACTACTACTAGTACTACTATATTACAGTACCTGAGTAATATTAATTCTGAAAAGAGGTGGATAGATATCTGGAATACAATTTTTTGAATTTCTTAACTATAGTCCGATAACGATTAAAAAATAAAGCGTGGAACAAATAATTTCTTCGTAATGTTTCTGTCGGCTGAACGTGATAAATAACGAATGATTACTGATAAAAATTATGTATATCATTGTTTTTACAATTAGTCAGCTGATTAATCTTTTGTTGCCATAGTATTACAAGATTTAGATGTTTCTCCAACTGCAATCAATTACCAAACTTAATGGGACAAGTAATCCGTCCAGTTTATTAATCTCAGCATTTATTCGCAGCGAGTATTGCACGATTTGATAAGTAGAAGATAAGGAACGTCAAAGAAATCTCTTAACCTTTTCAAAGTCACCTTCAAATTCTTCGAACAGAATTCTTAATTTCGTATTATAAAAAATTATTAATTTCGTATTTTCCTAATAACTTTTCCCTCATTTCCAACGATTTCGTATTTAATTTAAATTTCCTATTGGAACAAAACTCGCTTATTTTCCAATGCAATGCTTTTCGAAAGATCACATCCGCGATTGGAAATTTTTCTACCCTAATTGCGGCAGAGTATTTTCATTTCCTGTATATGTCAATTATGCCTAATCACACATTTCTGAAATACTAAGCTTGTAAAAATACTAAAATACAAAAAAAGAGAAAAAGAAAAATGTTATTCCCAGTCAAACCGACAACCTTCGATTAACATTCTTTTAACGATACATAATTAGTTTTTAATCAAAAGAAATTTCTTTTCAAGTTTCTCCTGGACTATGTTAATTTCGTTATCGATGATCTGTACAGAGTGATACTCGTATCTGGAGGGATCTTGAATATCGCTTGATACATCCTCCGTTTCACTGATCGTACTCCATCAACGAATTCCGAACAGAGAAATTAAAGCGGCGACGAAACGAAGGCAAATGAAAGTAGACCATCGATTTAAAAACGACAAGATCGAAATCGCGTTTCCTTTCTTCGTGCATCCGATACATGAAAGTAACGTGACTTCCTCAGTCGTTAAGAAAGAAAACTTTCGCGATACGAATATCGGCCTGCTTGTTCCTAAAACGAATCTATTTTGAATGGTATATGCGTATACGGTTACTGACATTAATATTTGGACATTCTTTCAAACAGAATAACTTCTTTTACGATTCAACCAGACGACTTGTTTTTTTTTAGGAAAGGGGAATTTTATTAATATAAAGAGAAGATTAGTTTACCAGGTGTAACAAGAATTTTGAAATGACACTAGTAGCTTATATGCTACTGTAAGCATATATTTTTTAAATATACTTGCATTAATATTCGAAGTCTTTCTATCAGATTAGAAAAAATTTTCTTTTTTAATTCGATTTATAATTAAAAGATCAAGGAATCTGTAGATGTGCTTATCGCTGAATAAAACGGTTCTAGGTTTGATAATTACAAATACCAATTTCATAATTTCGTATTGTACGAAGGAAAAAGAAGAAAGGAAGAGAAAAGAAAGAGAAGAAAAATGTAATCACATGGCAATATCCTATCACACGTAAGAAATAATGAAGATTGTAAAGAATAAAATTGTCGCGGTTTCTCATCTATGACGTTGTAATTAACGTGCACCTTATCAAGTGCGAGAAAATATTCGGATACCTTTCAGAGAGTGAAGTGTATCTATATAAAGAATGACAAATCTAAAATTGAACTAAACTACCATTAAGAGACATTCAGGAAGCCATCATTCTATATATATAATTCGCATTCGTCCCCGTCACTTTTTCGTATTTAGAGAGATGTCTCTCTAGTCGAGCTATTAATATCCAATTTCGTAAATGGCGAGGTCGAGTAATCGATATTATAAAGCGGAGCTTCCTCGGCTACGGGTCGTGACCCCATGTGGGGTCGTGTAACAAAATTATGGGGCGGCAGAAATTTTTGCAACTGTTACACACCAGAGGAATAAAAATGTCGATGACCTGTCGGCAAAGGATGAAGAAGAATTTATCGAATTATTAATCGACATGGATATAAAACAGCAGCTTTTTAACAAATCGTTTAAATGAATTTTTGCTTAGAATTAGAACAGAATTTTCAACAATTTTTAAAACGATCTTGAACGCGCTTATGATATTTTATATCACATGTGTGAAAATGTGACTCAACAACTCTGTTTAAATAATATCTGATGGTAAGTAAATTGGTTAAACGTATTAGTATTCAGTCATACTGTCACAATAGTTTACAATACTAATAATGTGCCTCAAATATATTATTAATATTAATGCAACTATTCAAATTTGTTAACGTTCGACAAAGTTATTTGAATAATATTTCATGCTAAACAGATCCAGCAAATCTATCAGTAATGTTTAATACATAGTATTATTCAAATTTGCTTACGCCCAACAACTCTATTTGAATAATGTCTGATATTAACTAGATTCCTCAAGGCAATTAGTATTTACCTATACCATAACAAAAACCTATTAATAATATTAATGTACTACTATTATTAATAATGTTAATACCATTATTTAAATTTGTTGACGTTCAGAAAGTATACTTGAAATAATATCTGATATTAAGATCTAGATCCCTCAAGGCAATTAGTATTCACCTACAATGTAACAAAAATCTATTAACAATACTAATGCTATCTCTCAAATATATTAGTAATGTTAATACTATTATTCAAATCTGTCTCAGACTCAATAACTCTACTTGAATAATATCTGATACTATATAGAACCCTTAGCTCTATTAGTATTCAGCTATACTATCACACAAGTCTATATAGTTTATATACTAATTACATTCGCTAAATATGTTAGTAATAGTAATACCACCACTCAAATTTTTTAACGTTAAGCAGCTCCATTCGAATAATATCTAATGATAAAGCAGATTCCTCAAATTTACTAGTTTGTACTCAGTCATGCTATTACAAAAATCTATAATACTAGTAATATCCTTCAGATATATTAGTATTCAACGTTATTATTATTATTCAAATTTATTAATAATCTGAATATTAAATCCTCGCCTGAATTATATAATAAAAATTGTAAATGAATAATTAATAATAACATGAAAAAACGGCGTCTTTATTATTGATGGTTGTAAAATGAAAATATCAATTCACTCTGAGAAACATTGAACATACTCCGTTATATCAGATATTCAGCCAGAATTGAATTTTTTATGCAAAAATAAACAAGCATATCTGTTTCACCGATATGCAAATTTAATTCTGCCCTAACAGGTGATAATAAATGATACAATTATAAATGTAACAAAAAATTGTTTAGAATTAAACTTCTTTAATTTGTTGTCGATTAATGTTTTACTTGTACAGGGTGGACAATATATAACTGACCAATTTCAAAGTCCCGCCATTCCGAAACGATGCATCATCTCCTGTTCCGCTGTAACAATCGTATCATGGACGTACGACAAAATAATCATTCAAAATTGTCAAAATACTTCATCAAAGCAATTCGTCGATAACGATGACCTCACACAAATTACTCTGCCGGTATCGTCCGGCCATCAAAGATCGCCTGATTCTATTGCAGTGGGTTTCTTCTTACGAGGTTATCTCAAAAGTAAAGCGCATGTCGATAAGCGAAAGCCAATCGAGCAGCTAAAAGATGCTATTCGAGAAGCGACGGCGAACATAACTTTCGAAACGTGCGAAGATGTAACGAAAAATACGACTGACAGTGCTGACTTTGTACAGTGTCCGAAGGCAGACATCTTTCTCATATCATGATTCCATACATAATTTCCAAATATTAATAAATGACTCGTATTAAAAAATACTGTTATTTTTTACTTCGTCTAAAAGTTATCGACAGTGAGAATCAGTCGGTCATATATCGTCCGCCCTACATATCTATTTCATGTACCTTCTCATGTACAAAACTGTGACTGCTTAACATTCTCTCGACATAAAATGGGTTGGCGAATGGGAAAAGTTTAAGAAGCGTTGTCATAAACCATTCATATCCTACCTCGATTAAGGAGCAATGTTCTGATAACTCTGATATATATCTTGCCATATTTCGTTTTGGCAACGTGAAATAGAAAGTCTGACACGATTCCATCGCCTTCGTGTATATCGGTCTCCGCCAAAACCTCTTTCAGCGCCTCCACTCGTTCTTCCGGCGTACTTTCGTCGTACGACGACAATTTGTTCTCCAGGCACTCGACCACGCTGAAGTCTTCCCAGAACTCGGGCGGATCAGTTTCGAGCCTCCTGGAAGATTCGGTATCCAGGAAACCAGAGATGTCCAACCCTGCGTAAGACACGTCCAACGCCAAATTCGAGAATGTGGGAGTTCGTGCTAAAGGAGAACTGGCTTGCAATTTCCACTGATGATTCTCACGATCTCTCGACTTGCAGCGACTTTGCGAGTCGCCGGTCCCTATGGAACTCGCTCGGTTGTTAGTCCGAGAACGTTCCTTTGTGTCAGCGAAGGAATATTCACTCATTTTCTGCGAATTGCTTGCCTCTGGTCGCCAGAAGTATTTTTCCTTCAAATCTGCCGGCAGATTTTCGTTTATCCCCAATAACAGTTGCCTGTCCTCGCTGCTTTTCGACGAGGCCGCTTTCAAATTCCAAACGGCCTGTAAATCACGGTGTTCCGCGACGTTTCCCTTTGTTTTCCACGTAAGATTTCCTGCTTCGCCGTCGATACATTCCGAGCAACTTTCGCTGTTCCTTGGAAGAAAACCATCGTGAGAAACTTGAATTGTCTGCCAAGACGAGTCTTTCTGGGAATCCGTCTCCGCCGCGCTCTGGGAATACTTTGCTGGCTCGCCGATTCTTCCTCGCACGCCAACTTCCGACAAATTTTCAACCGGCTCTCGATCCAACACATTTTGAACCGTGTCAATCGTTCTCGAAGAATGGCCTACCTTCCTTTGACCTTGATAGCTACGCTCAAATTTCCCAGACACTCGCGGATCGTGCTCGTTGCTCATGTCCCATAATCGGATTTTCGATCTTAAGAAGATCGAAATTTACGTACCGCTGTTCATGAGATCACGTTATCCCAACACTGTCTTTCCATTTGTCTCTTTCTCGTCGACACAGCTTCGCCTCGTTCGTTCATTTATTTAATTCTGCACTCTACACTGTTACGAATGATGTTGCGATCGTATGATGAATTTTCGTGAATTAATGCCAATGGTAATTTCGAGAGTGCGCTACAAGAAGCAGTTAGGTTTTAAGGATTGCCGTCTTATGCTGGCATATGCCTGGGTAGACAGGAAATGTGTGACGCTGACAAGAGCATGGAAAAAACGACTGAACTGCCTTGACGATACCACACAGGACGAAATGGAAGATAATATTACGACAGATGTAGAAGATGCATACAATACCGAGAATATAACGGCAATAATGGCATTCCTCAATACTTTGAAATATTTGAGGCGATAGAAACAGTTGAGATGATCGAAGACAAAATCGAATTGAATCTGCTAAAAAAGTCGTGTGATTTAGCAGTTAAAATGTTTGATCGAATCCTATTTAATTGCATTATTTGTATTGCTATTATTATAATTTATATTCTTCTTTTTAATAAGTAGGATAAACATGAATTTGCGAAGATGAACATCCTTCTATTTAATTTCATTATTTGTACTACTATTATTATAATTTATATTTTTTTTTTGGAATACATAGAACAAAGATGGACATGCCTTTCTTTAATTTCATTATTTGTATTGCTATTATTAATATCTATGTATTCACATCTATGCATTCACTATGTATCACATACATAAACCTTTGAATACACACATACGAAACACATACGAAAACCTTTGTCCCCCAACAATTCAGATAACCGAGATCCTACTCGAATTAATTTTTACAAACATGGAATATCTCAATTGGATTCTTGCTGGCACAAGATCATTAAACCTAATGGCATATATATTTTGACTCAATGAAGATTATAATACAGCAATGGGAAAGAAAGTGAAGACGAACAGCGTCCTCTCACATTGAAAACGTCAGTGACTCGTTCTTCCAAAAATACGACATAACCCCCTCACTACTCAGAAGAGACCAAGTCGCTATTACTCGCATCCGAATAGACCACACAAAAGTCTCCCACTTGCATCGATTGACAAAGGACGCAGCTCCCGGTGAAGAATGCGGCGAATGCAACGTACCAGTCGTTTTATTTTATCCTGCCTGGAGTGGTATAACACACATCGCTCACAAACTGAAACCGTGTATTAGAGACAATGTCAATAAAGAAACAATCAACGATCTGTTAAGACTCATTAAAGAAAGCAAGATAATTAACGTGATACTTTAAGCATATCTGCCTTCGTAGCTAATAATCTTGCAATCGATGCAACGTTAAATTTATATATATAAAATTTTACGAAATTAAATTAAATACCAGACTGGTCCTTTGTGATTTGAAATATGGCGCCCTTACGTCTGTTTCCATAGATTTGTTTATATCTACTATATACTATACTATATATTACAGAGAGAGATAACTTAAAAGTGAAATTAACACCTAACCTATTTTATAATGTGATTGGCTAATGTGTTATTAGAAACGCGTCTCCTATTGGGCGATCAGATCGCCCCCTGTTGGCTGATACAAAATGGTAATTGCGTAGCCACATTCTCAATGGCAACGCGCTTATATAGCAGATCGCCATACATAGTTAAAGATTAATTATGGTTAAAGAAAAAATTAAGTGGAGAATATACAATAAAATTGACTCATACGACGCATCATTTCTGAGAAAATCGAGTTTGAAAAGTTGCCAAGTATACTTTAACTTGGTTAAGACTAGGTGTGAGTAAACAATCAACACGAGGTTATTACACACATGAAAATAAATAAAAAATGTTGAATAATATTTTTCTGTTTAAGGCATCATTTTCAAGGAATTAAAGTTTGATGGAAATAATGTTTAATTACGAACTGGTTTGATACAGGCGCATGATATATCTTCAAATTTATTTTTATCAAAAAATAAAAAAAAAGAAACAAAGCGTATTATGAAAGAAATTCTATTCTACATTTTTTTACTTATTTTCACATAAAGTTTAAGCTCCTGTCGATTCTTTACTCTTGTTCAGTCTGGAATTATTTAAATTTAAGAATACTTGTTAAATTTTCAAACTCGATTTTCTCGAAAACGAAACCTCGGATGGAAAAATGTTATATCAAACGTTTTCTATTCTTTCACGTAGAATTGCCCTTTGCTCGGTTGTATTACAAAATTGTAATTGTGGAAATCCACCTCACGTGTGTATAGAAAACAAGATTATAGTTTTGCAAATATATCGTTCTTATCGACCATGTCATGTTGTGTGACCTAATAACTAATACTATTGTTTTATACCTGTGCAAAATTACTTGGAACTGAGACACCTTTGTACTACCTATTTCATTGTGTTATCAAAATAAATAAAGCATGTACGTATATACTCATCAAAAGATATTGATGTACAATTGAAAGTATATCACGGTGCTGTTTACAAAAATCATTTAGATCGCATCGATAAGAATATAAATACTCGGAACTTTCAATACATGCAATTGACTAACTGATATCAGCTATATAAGTGCCGATAAACTGATCACATTGTTATAGACCAATTGTGTATATCTTTACGATCAGAAATTACTGCAACATGAAATTAATGCTAATGTTAATAAGAAAATGTAACTATGAAACAACGACAGAATTCTATATAGAGGGTGTTTTAAACAAATTGCATAAAAATTTGATCACAACTTTTATGTGTCAAAGTAGGAGAAAAGCAGTTCACAGTTCATATAAATATTAAGGTAGTTCTTAAATAAATCAAAATTTAAGATTACTCTCAAATTTCGAGCAAAATTAATCTTCAGTTTAGATCAGATAAGACACTGAATAATATAATTCTGAGTTTAATTTATTTAGTGCTGTTAACTAATTTTCTGAAGTTTTTCACAAATTTTCTTTCACAATTATTAATTCCCTCTCCTCCTTTTAACAATTCGAGATTGATATTTTTCTTTCTTGTTGGATACTTTCTTTTCAACTTGACGATTTTGTCAGATCTGCTACCTCAATTAAATATCGATTTAATGTTCTGTCTTCGTATTGCAATTATTTATATCAACTTTTGACTTTTCAAGATAAATACAAATGATATAAAAAATTATTATTATTATTTCATATCATACTAGCCATCAATATCATATTATCTTTATATTTAGCATTTATTAATCAACTCCAATTTGACTAATATAGTTGACTAGGGAACTACCTTATCGATAGAAAACTAAAAGCAGAACGAATGTCAAAGCGTTTGCCATGAAATTCGCGAACATAGACGCGTTTCATACAAAATATCAAACGTGTTTAAATGTACCGAGATATAATTAGTCTGCGAATTTTTATAGATCTATGAGAAACTTAGAGGTTTGAAAAGGAACAACATCCACGTAAAACGCAAAAGTACATAAAATAATCCAAAGTAATCGTTACGATATATACTTGTAAATAGTGGGAACATTTCATAGTTTTAGTGTTAGAATTTTGTACAGGCCATTTTGAACATCTATTCTAATTCAACTTTTTTTATCGTTAATATAGAATATAAACATTTTTCTCTACTTTGGTGCACAAATATGAGACGAATCTTCAATTTTATTTCCATAATTGTATTGTGTTCATTATATGAATTAATTGTATTCATTTTATTTCCATTGTATTCACAAATAAAAATTTCCATAAATATCCTCGGTCGGATTATGATAATATATTTTCGATATACATATTTATGATACAAATTTACAGTATCAGACAAGATTAGACGGTATTAGACTAAAATGTGTTAATGTTAAACTAAATTACATGTCAGTAACGTGCGCATTAATAATATAAGTTTGAATAATTTTCCTCCTGCACCCAAATTCCTACCCATCATTTTTTAAACACGCTGTAGCCATAATAAATAAACGTTCTAACAGACGTCCGCATATTTTTTGGAATTTCTTCCAACCAAAAGAGGTTGAAATCGAAAATAAAACACTGTATGATTGATGATTATTGCTTGACAGCTAATAACGAATCAAAATTAATCAAAAAATATAATATCACAGTTTTTTTACGATGATCATAGATAGCAAGTATCCCGCAAATTTTACAATTAATTTTAATACGTCTCTTATACTTTTCTTCGATCCTAAGAACGAGCGAACATCGAGTGTTATAGCACAGAATTTCCGTGCACGCTGATTAAATTATATGCATTAATTAAATTGCTGGCAATAAATTGGTGTGAAAGAGCCGCGCCGTAGTTTCGAAAACAATAAACCATTATACGTATCACATTTTCTTTTCCTATTCCATTTAGCTGACGGATTATTTCTATGAGAAAGCGTTGAACTATTCGAAAGGGGACGTGTCTAAAGAATTACACGGTTTTTCTTTAACAAGGAAAGCTTAATTCATCGTCTAATTGATTGTTGCGCAATTCTCTGAGAAAATCGGCTACAAGACTTGAGAAATTCCTTTTCCCTGATAAGTCGCGAGTTCAGCCACGGACTACCTCGTTGCTTCACTCAGATTTACGCAGGCTGTCTCAACTGAATGAGATCACCTAGGTATCTGACTTATCTACGATTGTATGAAAAAACCTCTCAGGGCAAAATTAAATTATTTGCCGTTATGAATCTCGCTGATTATGTGAATTTAAACTATCAGTATACATATCTTAGTAATTATATAGAATAATTGCACTATATAGAACTAGAGAAAAAAATATATTTATAATTATAGATAAATATATATATAATTATAAATATTATATATATAAATATAAATATATAAATATATAAATATAAATATATATATAATTATACTTACTATAAAAAAAATATAGCAAGAACTTACTAAAGGAGAGGTGGAATGAGATGGGCATTTTTGTCTCGCACAAGACATAACAAAAATTAAAAGACCATTCAACTTCTAATCGATAACACTGACAAGTTATCGTCAATGATCGTCTAAATGTTTACGTGACTTATCTTTTGCTTCTTAAAGACGAGTATTTTGTGTCCCTCGTATATTATCTGTATTGAATGGGACAGTGTAATA